CACAGTATCTTTTCAAATATTAGGCAACTGATGATACCTCTGATTAAATAAGTTTACTACTTCAACTTGACTTCTACAATTCTCTCCGTAACCGATCGTCATTAAAATCTCAATTCGGTGGGACTTAGTTAAATATTTCCTTTTTATTTCTGCAAGAAATTAATTTTTAATTAAGAATTTATTATTTTAATGTAAAATGTCAACAGCATGTCAACTAATTGATAACAATCCATTATTTACCGATTTAGTTTAATTAGCAGACTATCTATACAGTTTTTACCTATTCACGACAAAAAATGTTAACACAATTACTAAACAGAAATTTTCCCTAATATACAGTGTACTGATACTTAGAGTAGAAGTCTATTGTCTGTACCTATTTAGCTAATTTAAAATAATATCATAACACGTGATAAATTATTTATTTCAAAATTTCACGTTGTATTATTCATTATAGATCCTACATGATATAGTTCATTGAAATTAGCTTGTTAAAAGTATTTTAAAAACACAAAAATATACAGGGTTTTTTTTATTAAAAATAAGGATTATGGACTATGCCAGACGTGCGTGGATCACCCTGTACATTTAAACTTATGTTTAAAAACGCACATTTAAATTTAAAAGTTAACGTGTCCCAGAGTTTTTGATTATTTTCTATAATAAGGACACAAGCAATTTTATTCCATAAGTGGTTTCCACACTGTATGATACTTTTGAGCAACATATCTCTCATTTTTCTCGGCTTGAAGCAACGCAACAATAGCAGCCGCTGTTTCGTGGATTTATGTCCATGAATCTTGAGATACAATCAACACAATTCAACTTCAAATTGTGTTTGACACTTGATTTGACTCAACACTTTATTCACATCAACAAGAACAAAAGAATAACAATAGAATACCAACATCTACTTTGCACATTTAAAAGTAATAAGAATAGTGTATTCTTTATTTTTGATTGTTTATGTAATTTTTTTTTCAGATAAGAGCTTAAGTTTTATTAGAAATTAATTAAAACAGTATGTTTCGATTGTGTTTACGTTCTAATCATATTAAAAGTTTTTATTTTAAAAATGCAAGTGCTCCATTTTTGATGCCGGTGGGTGTAGAATAAACATACAGTGGGTGATCAAAATATTATGATCAGTCACAAAAGTTTAAGTTTTTCAAATTTGTTCAAAAATTTTATAATAAAATCATATTATACTGCTCTATGTATGATTAAGGTATGCCAATACCAATTTTGTCACTAAAAACCTTACTTTTTTGACTAGTAGTAGTAGAGTGAAAAAAAAAACTATCAGTTTTAATTTTTAAGACATTTTCAAAACATTTTGATTTTTGAGAAGAAAATCATATTGGGAAAGGTTAAAGACGTCCCTGTGTCCAAAATGGTGCAGATAAAGACACCTTTATTGAATACAAAGCTTTGTTAACGTCAAATAACTCAACAATGCCAGATAGCGCAAGCAACAGTGAGCAATATCAAGAAAACAGTTGATACCAACAAACCCCTGACTCACAAGCGTGCCCAAAAATGTGGTCGAATGCGTGTCACTACATCTAGAGACGAAAGCAAAATGAGAAATATCTTCGTAAACAATAGACAGAAACAAGAAGAATTTTCACGGGACTTATTCGTGAAGCTGGAATGCAAGTTTCTGACATAACAGTCCGCAGAAGGCTTGCTGAGCAAGGTTTCAAATCATATCGCCCTTCCAAAAAACCAAAGTTGACAATCGCAATAATGAAAAAAAGACTGGAATGGGCTAAATAACACCAAAATTGGACAATTGAGGATTGGAATAAGGTAAATTACGTCACTAATGAAGTTTCAATCTCTATAAGTACTGTTTTTATCCTAACAAAAAAATCTTTTTTTTTTATTGACAGGTTTGCTTCTCCGATAACTCTAAGATTATGTTATGGTCTGTGATCAGCAGTAAGGGCACAGGAGGCTGTACATTGTGAATGAAATGATGAATCAACATCAGTATATTGAAGTTCTGAAAAGAAAGCTCATGCCACAAATCAAAGACTGGTTTGGCGAATCGGAGGATTTTATTTATATGCACGATTCAGCACCGTGCCACAAGGCAAAAACAGTAACATCGTACCTGGAAAAAAAGAAAATTACAGTACTGAAGCGGCCAGGTAATTCCCTGGACCTCAATCCGATCGAAAATCTATGGAAGCTTATGAAGTATGGGATTATGAGAGACTCATTCCACCTGACACAGAAACAATAAAATAAAAGAAGACTGCCTAAAAAATATTCAAAGCATGCCAAGGAGGATCAAAGCTGTCATCGAAACTAAAGGAGATCACACAAAATATAAAAAAAAAATTGTTATTTAAGGTCAAAGAAGAATATTTTAAAATTTTGTAAAACAACGTATTATTGATATATTTTTATATTATATTCACACATCATTAGATGCTTGTATGCAGTTTTATTCTTTATTAAACAGCAAAATACAAAGTTTTTTGAAGTGATCGTAATAATTGGATCACCCACTGTAAATACTTTTGCACTAATTCATTGATGTTAAAAAAGTAATAAATAGAAAGGTGTAAATTATTCCCGCCTATCTATATTGTTTTAAATTTGGTTAGATTTTACCGAAAAACAAAATTATAAAAATAAATATTGAAAAATATCAATGAAATTTGCATATACAGGGTGGTCCTTAAGTAATTGTACAAAAAGAAATCGTAGATTCTACACTTTAAAATATTACGATTTAAGTCAAGTTGCTTTAATAAAATGTTGATAAGAAAGATACAGGGTGTTAAAGTGAAAATTTCAAGTTTTATTTTTCGCTATAACTTTTACATTTGTCAACATTTATGTATAAAAATTTACAACTGGGTATTATTAAATATCAGAAATTAAAATTTGATGTATACTTTGATGTAGCTGATAGAGGGCGCCACATATGCCACATATGTGGCATACATTTGCACGTAACTTTTTTGCTCTTTAAGTTACCGATATTTTTAATAAAAAATATTTAAGATACGTTATTTTAACAAAAAAAAAGGTATACTTGTTAATACCTTCAAAACTCAACAGTTTTCGAGATAATCGCAATTTAGAAATCAACTAAGTACATAATTCTGATTTATCGCAATTACTCCAGGCAACGAAAGAAAATTAAAGAAAAACATCAATACTTATGAATTTTGGTATAAAATGCCTTTAATAAAGTTAATAGTTAATGAATTATTAAATAAAATAAATATATGAGCAAAATAAAATAATAGGATTTGATAAATAACAGAATAATTTGATTTTACATCAAACATTTTATTTTAATTTGTATTAAATTAAAGTCATTATCAAAACAACAGTACATTCCATAAAATATCGTCTCATATTAAATAGCGTCATTGCTTCTGAAGAACTGCTGCAGGATTTATTATAAGTGTTATAAGTATAATGATTAATAATTTTTTGAAATGGTTATGAATTAAATAATTATATTAACATCTCACTACAAGAATATGACTACCATGAACAATCCAATGTTCAGGAAAGTTGTATTTAAATACTGTCTCACTCCGCTTTCTCTGTAATGTAATGGTTTACCATCTTGTAGAAACCACATATTTCGCCTTAATTTTGATGACAATTCTTTCAATATATCAATTAAATAATTTTATAAAAAATGTAAATAAATCTCGTTATTCAAATTGCAAGATAATTCGCATATCCGTAAAAAATAATTATCAATGGTTCCAAACCATAGGACATGCATTTTAAATATCAATTTTAAAGGATGTTTTACGGATATGCGAATTACGTTTCAATTTGAATGGTGAGATTTATTTACATTCTTTACAAAATGATTTTATTGATTTATTGGAAGAATTGTCATCAAACTTAAGGCGACCTATGTGGTTTCTACAAGATGGTACACCATTACATTACAGAGAAAGCGGAGCAAGACAGTATTTAAATACTTCTTTAAACTTTCCTGAACGTTGGATTGTTCATGGTAGTCATATTCTTGTGGTGAAATATTAATATAATTATTTAATTTATAAACATTTCAAAAAATTACTTATTATTATACTTATAACACTTATAATAAATACTGCAGCAGATTCTTCAGAAGCAATGACGCTATTTAATATGAGACGATATTTTATGGAATGTATTGACAAATGAATTAAAGAAAATGGTGGACATAGTGAACACTTACTTTGACAAAAAGTTTAATGTTATTTAGTTTAACTATTTCTTAATTTGGTTTGTAAATAAAATGTTTTGATTATGACTTTAATTTAATACAAATTAAAATAAAATGTTTGATGTAAAATCCAATTATTCTGTTATTTTATCAAATCCTATTATTAATTATCCTGTTGATATATTTATTTTATTTAATATTTCGTTAATTATTGACTTTATTAAGGTATTTTATAACAAAATTCAGAAGTATTGATGTTTTTATCTATTTTTCTTTCATTGCCTGGAGTAATTGCGTTAAATCAGAATTATGCAGTTGATTTGTAAAATGCGATTGTCTCCAAAACTATTGAGTTTTGAAGTTATTAACAAGTATATTTTTTTTTTTTGTTAAAATAATGTTTCTTTAATATTTTTTATTTTAAATACCAGTAACTTAAAGAACAAAAAAGTTAAGTGCAAATTTATGCCACGTATGTGGCATATGTGGCGCCCTCTATTAGCTATATCAAAGTATTTATCAAATTATAATTCCAGATGTTAAATAGTACCCAGCTGTAAATTTTTGTATATAAACGTTTACAAACATGAAAGTTATAGCGAAAAATAAAATTTTAAATTTCGAGTTTAACACCCTGTATCTTTTTTAATACCAACATTTTATTAAAGCAAGTTGGCTTAAATCGTAATATTTTAAAGTATATAATCTGCGGTTTCTTTTTGTACAATTACTTAAGGACCACCCTGTATACAAGAAAGAGCATATTAAAACAAATTGAATAGAATATATTTTTTTAACTTACTGACGATGTACATTGAATAACGTCTCGACAGGTATCGCCCTCACCTCCCACTAAACGAAACCACTCGCCCGCGTCTTTATCTTTGCATATTTCGGATTCGAAACTCTCCTCTTTCTTCGGTTCGTCTTCTTTGGTCTGCTGTTGAGCCAAACCTAAACAACAAATAAAAATGGATTTTGTAATTCTTTGTTTTAGATTCGTGATGTTATTTTGTGGGTTGGATACTTTAAGTCGTGATTACTAAGGATTTGTATGCTGACTAGGTTTTGGAATTCCATGCATTTTGTAAGAGATAAATTGTGTTTGATGAATTTATTTTAATTAGCAGATAATTCGAGATTGTGATAAAGCTGATACGTTTTAATAAAAAAAAGAGTCTTCGTAAATGGGTATATTTATTTAAAAACCCTTAAAAGGGCTATATCAAAAAAACAAACGTTTTCGGACTAAACAGTTCATCATCAGGTTTAAAATTGCTAGGTTAAAATGCCTGAGCCACGAAAATATCAGGGAAAAAACCCTTTAAATTACATGTAGTTATTAAAGATTGTACATATTGTTGTTATAAAACTGTGATGTTAGATATTTAATTGAATTTGACTTAGGTAACATGCTTGAAGTGAGTTCCAGTGACCGGAGAGTAAACCTCTTTAAACGGACTACAGCTGGTAACTCCGTTGGTAACTCTGTAGTCCGTCTGAAGAGGTTTACCCTCCGGACACTGGAACTCACTTCAAGCATGTTACCTGAAGTCAAATTCAATTAAATATTTAACATCACAGTTTTATAACAACAATAGGTACAATCTTTAATAACTACATGTAATTTAAAGGGTTTTTACCATGGTATTTTGGTGGCTCAGGCATTTTAACCTAGCAATTTTAAACCTGATGATGGACTGCTTAGTCCAAAAACGTTTGTTTTTTTAATGTAGCCCTTTTAAGAGTTTTTAAATAAATATACCCATTTACGAAGACTAACCCCTTTTTTGTGATACGTGGTATACAGCCAGCTACAGGAATTGTTTTCCTTGTGGATTTTACTTTTTAATAATTTTGTTTTGTATTCTGAAGCACTACAAAAATTTCAATACTTTGATAATCATTAATTTGATAGTCGATGTCCATGTCCACTTCATTTAATTGGATGTAAGCATTCTAGAAATTTCATAGTTCAAATCTCGTCGTGGGTCAAAAACACAAGAACTTTAATGTAATACTATATAATAAAAAGTGTTTAGAACTTCAAGCAATTGTCCTGATAAATAAAGCTTTGGAAAATTTCTTTAAAAATTATACAAAATCAAATATAAAAAACTAGATATAGAAATAATCAGAATATTTGCCAATTTATACTGGAACCAAATAGGCAAAATAAAAATCTAAATACGTAATGAACTATTAGAAGCCGTAAAAATAATAAGGGGAGGTAGACAGAGCTGTACATTTTCTCCCATAATGTATAAAGTATATATCATTATCATCATTAAGTCTTGTGCATCCATAGTTGAGCATAGGCATCCTCTAATTTCTTTTAGTTTTGTCAGTCTTGAGCTTCCTGCAGTCAATTCCCAGCAATTCTTTAGACGTCAATTCTTTTAGTTGGTCTATCTCTACTTCTTCTGTCAGCTCGTGGCCTCCACACTGTAATTTTTTGGGTTCTCCGTCTGTCATTTATTCTGGCCACATGGTCTAAGAGTCAGTCCAAATAGCTAGTATTCCATTCGTCTTTGAACGATTCTGAGTTTGGTTGCTGTACTCTGAGTTAAGAAAAGTGTTTTGGCGTTGTAAGTCACGACTGCAAGCACACATTGGTCGCACGTCACCTTTTTCAAATAATTCGGCATCTTGCTTTGAAAAATGTCTAATAATATAAATGTTGATATCCGGCCCAAGCTAAAATAATTCTTCATTGCAGTTTAGTTGTACTTAGCAATTTGGGTTTTATGACCTAAGTATTTATATTTATGAACTAATCCTAAATCGCTGCAGTCAAATTTTGGATTATTACTTAGTACCAGGTTTGTCATGGATTGTATCTTTACAAAATTTATGTCCAAACCAACTTTATTACAGGCTGCATCTAACTCAGTAAGCATAGTATTAATCTCTTTTAAGATATGTGTTATCAGAATATTGTCGTCCGCAAATTGTAGGTGGGAGATCATTCTGCCGTCAACATTTATTTCTTTGACTTCCCACTTTAATTTTTTGAAAGCATGTTCAAGAACTGCTGTAAAGAATTTGAGAAAACATGTCTCCTTGCCTAATTTCTCTTTTAATTTTTATACATAATAGACACAATCTAGACATAATAAACACAATCGAAGCCAAAAGACTTAACTGGTATGGACACCTTCAGAGAATGCCGGAAAATATATGGCCAAAAAAAAATAGAAGAATGGACGCCGCCAACAAGAAGAAAACGAGGTAGACCAAGACGATCCTGGAGAGACGACGTCGACGATGCAATGACAGCCAGAGATCTAACAACTGAAGATTGCTTCGACAGAAAACGCGGAAAATTATGATGCGAGAAGCGGCGCCAGCTGTAGAAGACTCGCTTGTTATATATAATTTTTATACATTTTTATCTTTATGTAGTCTAACAGTCGTGGTTGCATTACTGTATATTTTTGAAATTTGTTTAAAGCTAGGATCAATGGTCGGTTGTATTTGATGGATTTTTCTATAATCCGTTTTATGCAGTGTAGGTGGTCGTTCATCCCGAAGTTTTTTCTAAAACCTGCCTGTTCCCTGGGTTGGTAAAAATCTAATTTTGTTTCTAGTCTATTTGCTATTATTCTTGTGAATAGCTTTTAGAGGTGGTTTAACAGGTTTATGGGCCTTCTCCAATATTTAAGACTTTTAGAATAATATTATCTTCTTCCGGCTTATATTTTTGAAAATGAAATAGCTACTAACCAATAGAGACATAACATTGGAAGGAAGATATATGGTAAGCTTAGCATTGGAAGATGGAACATTTCTTAGAATAAAAATTTTAGAGAATGGTTTAATGTAAGTGTAACTCAATTATTTAGGACAACTGTAAATAGAGTAAGTGTCGTCATAATGATTTTCACAAGCTCTGGCATATAAGAGGAACTAATTTCGAGAGAAACTAATCTTGTTGTTTTTATATCCAAAAAAGACATTTTTAGTTATTATTTTTTTATATTTAACTGGTTTGGATTTATATTTATTATGATTATTTCATGAAGGTCAGCTCTACATCAACCAATTCCCTGTAGAAAGACGCACTACAACTTACTCGGCACCACATTAAATAAAGAATGGACCAACAACAAAGAGATTAGAGCACGCATCGGAGAAGCTAGATCCACCTTCAATTATATGGGCGCCTTTTACAAGAGTCAGAACCTTTCTTTTGATACAAAAGTAAGAATGCTGCGGTGCTACGTCTTCTCTGTCCTTTTTGATGGTATTGAATCGTTGACCTTAAACAAATATATGTGCCGAAAACTTGAAGCATTTGAGATGTGGTGATTATATCGGATTATACTTAAGATCTCGTGGACTGACCGAGTGACAAATGAGGAGGTCCTTAGAAGAATGAATAAGAACCGTGAGGTACTGACCACCATCAAATTTACAGTTCTTCGGACATATTATGCGAACTGAATCCAGATCTGCTATTTTTTCAAGCCATCCTGCAAGGAAAAATATTTGAAAAACGGGGTCCAGAAGGAGAAGAACATCTTGGTTAAAGAAACTCAGAATCTGGTTCAACACAGCATCTGGGCAGCTTTTCTACGCTGCTGCAGAAAAGATAAAGATTGCCATGATGATCGCCAACATTCGTAACGGAAAGGCACATCAAAAAGAAGAATTTTATGAACAGTATTACTTGCTGTTATTATTATTGAGTTTAAATAATGATAAGATTGTTTTATACTAATTGATTTTTTAATTAGATTTTATTAAGGGTATACTTATTATTTTATGTCAATAATAATACTTCGCTTAGCGTAATTACATTAAGCTCTAAGCTAACCAATCGGACTAAGGCTGAAACGAAAAACTTTAGCCGAATTGTTAACTATAAACTAGTTGTAGAAACCCAATAGAATTAAGAAACAGAAGCCCAACCAAAGCCTAAGAGATATTTGGCACTATTCAAGTGCCAAGAATACATAGGAAATTGTCAATGGTCAATTTTCTAAAAGGTATTTTTTAAATATTGTCAAATAGAGTACAGACAATGTGCTTATTGTAATTATATTACAGATTGTAAATGGGATGTCAAACAAAAAAATTAATTCTACAAATAAAAATAAAATTATGTAATAGGTACCCAAAAAATCAAGCAAATCATAAATAATAAATAATGACAGCATAAAAATGATTTTAAATTACTACACAATGAAGTGATTATCATATAAATATCCAAAAAATACGTTTTACACATTCTGCCCGAGGAAGAAAGGCACCTGTTGGATAATAATAAATATTAAATATCAACCTTGACATATGACCTAAAGTAGCGGTTATTTAGATTTATTGGCACATTTCCGGGAATAATAGAGGCTTTAAAAAAAAAGAATAAACTGATCCAATGCAGTATCAAAGAACATCACAGCATATTTGAATGCCATAAAAGTCTTCTCCGAACACTTAACATATAAAAATTAGTTATAAACGAATTTTAAAAAGTACTTCAAAAGAATTTTCCATCAGAAAAAGCTATCACAGGCTTACAGAAAAAATTTTGTTTTGGTGCCGTAAATCTTTAAGCTCATTTTTTACTATATTAGGGGCAGCTAATTGAAATATGGATTCGGTTTTTTTGTATTGGCTCTAGTTTTATAGATATGGCCTATTACAAAATTAGTAGTTTTAATATTTGAGCTAACGAAGAAATATACCTTGGAATATTCAAAGGAATATACCTTGTTAATTAAACTTCTTCCTCAGTATATTTGATGTTCTCACTGTATTATGCCATTTTATATTCCACACTACGGTGTATACGATTTGTATATTATTCCACACTACGTTGCAAATGAATGGCCTTTGTTTATTGATAGCTCCAAGCGCAGTTTGAAATGTGTTCTGCTTCACAATGGCAACAAGTTTGGGTCAATACCAATTGCTCATTCAACAGTGATGACAGAAGAATATTCTACAAT